TATAGGCCAAAAAGTACGGTAATTATTTTCTGGCTTCCTACAGCGAAGGACTTACCTTTTCTGTTAACTTGTGCTTTAGCAAAGAAACACTGCTTCTGGAGCCAGAGAAGACCGCTCCACGCATCGAGACCTTGGAGCCGGAGAAAGTGGACGAAGAAGACGAGGGGAAGAAGGACGAATCGAGCTGCTCGAGTGAAGAGGACGAGGAAGAGGATTCAGAGTCCGAGACTGAAGCTGGTACTGTTTGTATTCTAGACTTGCTCTTTTGGATAATGAATGCAACAAATACTTCATTCTGCACCTTTTTTTTTTAGCTTGTATTTATGATTTAAAAAGTTGCAAGGCACTTTCTTTTGATCTGATTTAACCATCTGATGGATCTTTAAAGAATATGACCTTTGTTAAAGCCTTTTATTTCATCTCCTCCAGAAAAGACCAAGCCGCCTCCAGTAGTGAGCAGTAGCACGACGCCCACCCCGACCACAGTCAGCGTTTCATCTCCAACTAGCCCAACCAACCAGGTGACAACTCCCACTTCACCAGTTAAAAAGGTACGATTTGGTAACGTGCTCTGTTCTGTCCTGTTGGCACGTAAAACAACACGTTAGTCTTCAAGATTCAGTCTCAAAAGGTATTTGAGGAATTCAAAAGCTGCTGCACAGGCATGATGTAACTGTCACTGCTTTAAGAAGCAACTGCACTTCCTGTCTGCGCCCTTGAACCTTTTTTTTTTATTTTGTCAACCTAGTTGTAGTTCAGACAAGTTGGTTTATAGAAAACCTTCAACTTATTTTATCCCTGGAAACTGGGGCACAATTTGTAGATAACCGATTCTTTAGGTGAACATTAGTAGTTTTTCACACATGAAGATTACAAGCAATTTTCATTGGCACTTAATCACAACAAGGGGCTACACTGTGGGAAGATTAATGGCAAAGTGGGCTTAAAAAACTAACTTTAGTCAGGTGAAGTGTGTAAAGTTCATCATTGGCGTTTAATAATAAAGGGTTGTCACTTTGGGGTTTGCTGCCCTCTGCTGACATAAAAAGGAAACTAGTGATGGCAAATTTTTGTGGCAAAGTTCTTCAAGGACATGTCCTTTTCACCAAGTAACATCAGCTAATCCAACCGTGAATGACTAATGGAAGCAATTAAGAGAAAGTTTTACATAACTGATTTTTTTCTTCTTGATATAAGTCTCCTAGGATATGAAGTAACTTTAGCGTTCTTTTCGCAATCCGTAGCTGCTTTCAGTGACTTCTTTTCAACTCTCAACTCATTTAAACCCTCAACTTTATTTTGATAAATGGAACAACATTACACAAAAGGAAAACAATATAAAATACTATTTTACAAATCAATAATTTACCTAAAAAGGAATAGGCTGAAGCCAAGGCTTATCCTTGCCTACCCTATTCATAGACTCAGCAGTCTAGAATAATGAAATATCTACTGTCCATATACATACACAAGTACACACACATTTATATTTAAATATGCATGTATATATACACATTACATGCATACATGGTTACACAATACGTACCGGTATATACATCTACATAAAAGTACATGCTTTTATAATTTTACATTTTAAGGCTCTTTTAAAGCTCATCATTAAAGCACATAATTTGAGATCATTTAGTTCATTCCACAGTTTCACGCCGATAACTGAAATTCATCTAGATTTTACTTTACTTTTCTCTTTAGCTTGTTCAAATATTATCAAACCTCTTAAATTATATTTACTCTCTCTTAACTTACATAATTTCTGAATTCAAGAAGGAAGACTTATTCAGTGCTTTATAGATTATTTCCTGTATTTTTATATAAACAATGTAAAAAAAATATATATATATATATATTACTTTGAATAAAAAGTTTATTAGTTGGTTCACAATATCCCACTTTATTAACATGTTAATAGTTGTTTTATTTGCATTTTCCCATATTTCTGAGCAATATGACAATTAAGGCATAACCAAGGAAGAGTATGTAATATAATATGCAAGCCTTTTACGGTAGATTTATTAAATCTTTTAAACAATATTCCAATAGTTTCTGCAATTTTATAACTAATATATTTAATATGAGGCTTCCAACTAAGTTTGTTGTCCATAATATCTAAAAAAAAAAAAAAGTCTCATAAATGTTGATTTCTACTCCATTTATACGTAACTTTACATTATTGTAAATCCGATTACCAGAAAATACCATAAACTTTTCAGCTTCTTTTCTTGCAAACAATATCCAGATCTTGTTTAAAGCCTGGTGCTCACACACCACACGTCTTTAACGAGTGAGCGAAACACCGAGTGTTCAGTTTCATTTGGCCTCCATTTCAGCTGAGTAATGATGGTAGTGCCCAGTTTGGCACCATGTGGTGAAACTAGGCTTTAAAATGCTTGTCCTTACGCATAACGTGCTGCTTCTGCTTCTGTCTTGATCTGTCGTTTTTCTTTTTCCATCCTTTCTGTCCTCCCTTTCCGTATCCTCTTTTTTTTGGTGTTGTTCCTTCCTGGGCTCTTGTCTTCGTTGGCTTTAGTTTGATTACATTACACCTCTCATGCCTTTGGCGGAGCCAGGCTGTCCTGCGTTGTGGCGTCAAGGTTTGCGCAAAACTGGCATTTCTCTTGTGCCCAAAAAGCTTATGGTGAGGCATTGGTGTGCACCAGAGTTGTCGTCTCATCCTACATGCACTTGTGCACTCACAAAGCACTAAAATCTCCCCTAACCACCCTCGCCTGGTCCAGGTGATGCAGGGTTTTTCCACTTGTTTGGGTTGGCCTGCTTTTAGAGCCGCGTGCAGCACTAAACTGTGATTACTTCAGGGGATTGCAGTTGTTGTCCTGCTCAGGGGCACTCACAGCTGATGCTATACGTTCAGATAGCTTCCCGTTTATGGATCATTTCCAGCTATCTGTCAGCTTTCACATTACTATAAAAGTAAAGTGAACATTAGCCTTGTTCACAGGTAGGCAGTGTTATCTCGGCTTTAATCATGGTTTGTGCAACACAGAAAAGCCAAACACCCCAGTGGAAAAATCCACCATTTAGTGATTGAACTTCCCTATTGCTCATAAACATTACATGGTGCTGTTTTCACTTGTAATCAGCAAATGCACTGCTAATTTTGTTTGTACATGGTGTTTGTGTGACTTCCGTGTTTTTAAGTTGCTTTTCCATCTTCTGACAGTTATTGAAAACAGGCCTGTCGCGATAAACAATAAATCAATTAATCGTATGATAAATGAAAATTATCAACCTCGTTTTCATTTATCGGCTTTATCGTTTCTTCGTGTCTCTCTCTTTCTACTGAAGACACTCGATGACAAAAGGCTCTACTTCGGTGTTCGTCACTGACTCCTCCTCCCTTTCTCTTTTCTCTTTAAAATCAATTTTAACCATCCAAAATTGTGTTTTTGGATCGTTAAAAGCAGCTAAGCCAAGCTATGAGTTAAGCTAAAGGATCGACCTCATCTTGTCGAAGCTTCAAAATTCATGCTGAAGAGCTCAAACCACACAGAGCGTCCGCCATTTTGAGAACAGAAAAAAGGAAGGAGAGACAGCCCATGTCACGTCAAGGGGCCTCCTCCTATTTTCTTAGAGACACGCTGCTTTCTTCCTCACTATCCATCCTTGTTTCAGACAGTCTTATACTACCATCTGGTGGTCATAAAAAGGCACTACACACAAAACAAATTAACCAGCATTTCTTCCTAAATTTGACAATAATTACTAATTATTGTCAAATTTCAAACATTATCATTTATCGCAATAATTTCTGAGACAATTAATCGCCCAGCAAAATTTGTTATCGTGACAGGCCTAATTGAAAATGTGTCTGTGGCCAGACCTACACTAAAACCTTGTTTGAGTTGATTTGATGATTATAACAATGTATATTTTTCTCCTCTTGGTTTTATCCCTAAAAAACTCCCAAGTCCTTTCAATTAATCTGACAATGTTTGAACTGGTTGGTGTTTGTCTTACTTACCAAGACAACAACAAAAAAAAAAAATCTCACAGTCTCCACACTTTATAAATGGATAATTTAGCCATTTATCAGCTGCTTCCCTGTGCTGGTTTTCAGGTCCCGCAGCCTGCAGGAAAAACCTCACCAAAGGTGTTGGAGGAGGAGAAGAAGGATGAGTCTCCAGCGTCGTGGCGTCTGGGTTTGAGGAAGACGGGCAGCTACGGGGCGCTGTCGGAGATCACAGCTACGAAGGACGCTCAGAGGGAGAAGGACACCACTGGCGTCATGCGCTCTGCATCAAGCCCTCGTCTGTCCTCAACTCTGGATAACAAAGAAAAAGAGAAGGTCTTTTTAAACCCAACAAAATATGAAGTAAACTATAGTTGGGCTACATTAATTACCCAAGCTCTTTTTTTTTTTCATTTGCGTTCTTTAGGAGAAGGACAAAGGAACCCGGCTCGCGTATGTGGCCCCAACCATCCCCAGGAGGCTTGCTAGCGCTTCCGACATAGATGAGAAGGAAAACAGGTGAACCCCCGGAGCCAAGAGGCTCCGTGCAAACATGCATTGACATGAGTGGCTCCTGTTGCTTACAGCTGTGTGTTACAGACAAAAAGCCACGATGCACTGCATGGTGTGCATATTTTTAAGCATCATGATGTTATCACGCACAATTTAACAAAATACAGTAAGAAAAAGGTCTAGATTTGAAAGGTACACCCCTAGTATGTATGCCAGTGTTTGTTACCAGAGATATGGGGTACTATTCTAGCTTGTGGATCCCCAGGGACTCTACTGCTCTGAAACGTAGTGGCTCCTACACTCGACGACGCTGGGACGACGACCTGAAGAACAGCGATGGAAGCTCCCTTACCAACAGAACCCCCAGCTACCAGCGCAGGTTAGCCTCAGCTGCAGCACAGTCAAACCTCCATTCGTCTCTTCAGGTCTCCTCCGTCTGTTCTGCTGATATCATCGTAGCTTCTTTGTTAGTCAGCAAATATGTTTCACAGGCTTCAGTTTGCAGTAGCTGTTTCTCCGTCACTGTCGCAGAGTGCGTTGCATGACTGCACCTGCACTGTCAGGTTGCTGGGCTGCACAGTTCAAAATGCATCGCTCAGACATTTTAACGAGCCTAGGTGCTGTCTGTTAAAGCAAATAAATCATGTTCCCAGGGTTGTTTGTGGCACAAAGCCGAAACGTGGACCTGTGCTGAATTCACATCAAATGCATTAGTACTGGCTGTAAGCCACAAAATGGAAACACCCTAGTTTTTACATTTTTAAAGCTGCTTTGGGAACTTGTCTTCTTGGCTTGACTTTTGAGCTTCCCAACAAGTGCTAAGATTTTCTTTCTTTGTTTTTTGCTTCTAAAGAACATTTCTTTGTGATCATGTAAAGTGCTCTTGAGCAGTAGTTTTCCAGACATTTCTCTTATTTTCAATGCAGTCCTTGTAAACTTCAAAAAGGAATACATCTGTATGATTTTTAAGCCACTCGACACTAATTTAAAAACAGCACCCAACTTGATTGGTATCAGTTTCAGCAAATGGACAGCTAGGTGAAGAAGCTGGTTTAAATTCTTTTATCACTTTGTAACTTGTGGAGATGCATCGTTTTTCATCTATTCAATAAGAGGCAGTTATTTAAAATGTAATTTAAACAAGTCTAGAATCACCTTGTTGGTGGAAAGATTTCTTTAAATAATCTGCCAAACTGTTCTCTTATGGAAGCCCTTTTTTTTTTTTTAAAGAGCTAAAGAAATGGAGCACGGTGTCTTTGCAACAGGCTTCTTTTTGTTTTTGTTTTTTTATGCACAAATCATAAAAAATAATTTAAAAGTAGAGAAATAGCATTTTCTGCTAAGCTAAAATGAGCAGAACATAAGCTAAAGGTAAAAGGACGGCTATGACCTTAAGTTACTAAAATGTTAGATAAAACAAAAAGTTGCTAAAGAGAAAAGCTCCTTGTAACAAAAGGCTAGCTAAAAGCACAAGAAGGCAAAACAAAAAGTTTGCTGAAGCAGATTAAAAAAAAATGTTTCTGAAGGAACTGAAGAAATCAAAGTTTTTCTACAGTGAAATTTAGTTTAAGTAAATGTGAATATTTTGAAAAGTACAAGTTCCGAAAACATATTAGGGATGCACAGTACAGTAGTCCCTCACTACTTTGTTTATCACAGACTCGCTCTATCGCGGCTTTTCAAAATAAGAGTGAACATAACCCACAGTTGACTAATTGAGGGATGAGCTGCACAATTGGTATGGAGTTTTTATTGAAAATAAATTATTTAGCACCTTCTGCACATTTGTGCAGCTGATCAGCTGTTCCCCGTGCATGAGAAGTGGGCGTGGCCAAGAGTGCTTTCAGGTGGCAAAGAGCAGGGAGCTGAAATCATGACATTCTGTGCTCTTTTGGAGTTTAGAAACATTGTTTAGAATATTGCAAAACTTATGTTGGATATTATTATTGTTATGTAATAATATTGATTGTGATAAACCCTTGTTTTCTTTTGAATTAGGGTGCTTTTTATTATGTAATTTAAAGGCCACTGGGAAGTGGCTTAAACAAAAACTCATTCATTTGAAAAAGGTTCTATAAAAGGACTGAGTGAAAATAATGTAAAAATAAATAAAGCCGTTTATGTGCCGAGTAAAAACCTTTAAAACCTTCAGAAACATTGAAGAACTACAGCTCAAGGCCTCTTTAAAAGATTACAAGTAATGTTTGTATTTTCAGTAAAATCTAAAGGGATATCAGTTCATTTAAAACTTTTGTAGAGTACTTTGGAAATTTTAGGTAACATGTTTAATCCAGTTTCTACCAAACAAAAAGTTAATCATAAATCAATCAACATAAACCGTGTATTCTCAATTACAACTGTAAATGTGTACTCCTTGTGCCACGAACACACAGATGGCGTGTCAAAGCTTGGTAGCTGTGAACATGTCTTGTTTTCTATATAAATGTGTGTTTGTGTGTGTGTGCACCTCCACCGCTAACATGCCTCTCTTGCCCACCTGCCTGCCAACACACTAGCACGTCCCATACTCTAGCGCTGGGGCGGAGCGGCAGCACGCGGGACGTGCCAGCCAAGTCTTCGTCAACTTCCAGTTTGGACCCTAACACCTGTAATACTAAACCCTGGCAGCCACCCTCCTCCCACTACCAGTCTTACAGCATTTACCGCAGGTACACCCGCTGTCCTCTCTGCCTGCGTCTCGGCTCTGTTGGACATTTTCTGTCCTCCATGTGTTTCATGTTGTGTCTGAATAAATACTGGACAACTTTATTTTTTTACCCATTTACGATAAAATTGGGGATTTCAGTTTGTCTTTATATATTACAGACATGCTGGTTTGTCTACCAAATTAATGAATGGAATTAGTCTTTGTAATTGGGAGCTGTCCACATGGGAATATTTTTTTGTCAATACACGAATAATTTTTTTTTTTATCGTTTCAGCTCTGCATCCACACTGAAACACCATTTTAGGAGACCCAAAACTGTACTAATTTTTTTTTAATGGTTTCAGGGTGGTGGGGAGAAAAAAATCTTTAAAATTTTCATTTCTGTGTAGACGGCCAAAATGCAACCTTTTAAAA